CCAAATGCCACCAGGCACTTGCGACCCGGGCGTGAAGGAGGCAGCCTTGCTCTCTTGCTTGCCATCGGCCTCTTGTCTGGCTCTGCATCTTTCTGTCCTTTCTCCCTCATGGCTCACAGTTCTTGCTAGACCCACATTCTGTTGATCTGAGTCACTGTGCGTCTGTGCAGTTGAGACAGGCGAAGTTCATGGCTGTTGCCCCTTCATACTGCAGCGAATTATTCCATAGGTGAATTACATGTTGTACAAAGAAGTCCTTCATTCTGCCACTTGTGAACAAACTGCCCACGATTTTCACTAGATGACCTGGAGTTCTCAAGAAAAAGGAAGAACAATTTTCTGCTCTCTGCCCCATGCCCAAGTCACCCTTCTGTTTGTTTGGTTTTATTATATGGAAAAGCCCCAAACTGAGAACGTAAGAAATAATTAAAACATGAGGCCCTCCTGAAATAGAGGTGGGCCTGAGTCTACACCTTCTGCATGCCCCTCTTTGAGGCCTCCTCTTCGCCTGCCATCCATCCCTCTCTAGGCCCAGTATGGGAGTTTGCACTGTGCCCCACTTCCACAGGCAACGAAACAAGGGAGCAGTGGCCCGTAAACAAGATGGCGCTTGGTAGGCAGACCCAGCAGTACACATCCCTGAACAACTGGAAATGTGCTAGGACACTGCCCAAGCCTCTCTGAGAGAGCTTTGCTCCTGATAAGCCCCTTGCTTGGTACCTGTGTTTTCACTCTCCCCCTTCATGCCAAAACCCGGCTTCAGGCTGACCACAATCATACACTGCAATTATCCTGACAAACCCCATGTCTCTTCTCTGGTGATTCTTTTTTTAGAGCGTGGCTTGATCCGCAGCACCTCTGTCTTTCCTGGAAGCTCAGTTTTTTTGACTATCCAGCACTGAGGACCATCTGCAGATGGTTAGAGGCATATTCGGCTTTTAGTTGCTTTTCCAGGCGGTCCAAATATCAGAAGCAGGTTCCTGGGCTGAGACCTGTCTGAGGCGTAACAAATGATGCCCCACAGCCCAGACCGTGCTGCTTGGGTGCACCAAAGCCTTCTCCTTTCCAGAAAACCTCAATATGTTGATGCTGGGTGTTCTTTGTTCTTTGCTTCCCCATCCTTGAAGTCCTGAATCCTGAGCTCTCCCTTAAAATATTCTTCTCTCCTGCAGTCCACACTCACGCAGTGAAATTTCCTGGGAGGTATTAAATGTGAATCATGGAAACTGTCTCCAGAGGATGGGAGAGGAGGACGATTATGTTTATTGCCCCTCTATGAGCAAGAACGTGGTACCATCTGGCCTTGGGGTCTCTGTGGTGGTGAATGGAGAACAGAATGATTCATTTATTCCTCTTCCCCCACTGAACACACACACACATGGTAGTTGCCATTGGCAGTTGCAGCCTGGCAAAATTCATGTTTCCCTGCTTTTTAAACACTTTGCTAATTGCTTTTTGGAGATGCTCTGCTCCGCACGAATGAGACCAGAATAGCTATTGTGCCCTGGGAAGCAGTTTTTCTGTGGGGTCTCTGGAAGAGTAGGGTGGAGTGCCCAGCGAGGGGAGTTGGCTATGTGAGATTTTGCACTTGAGCTGACTGGAACATGGAGGGGCAGTTTGCTCTTCCGGGACAGAAAGAGAAGGGAGGCTTAAAAGGGGGGGGGGGCTGATCTGCCTCTTCAGATTGTTGCGGCAGGGGGGACACAGTGTCTCTCTATTCTGACCCTTTTTTCCTTCGCGCAAATCTGGGGGAAAAGTGAGGTTTGTTTGTTCAGCACTAAGGACCAGATGGAAAACAACACGCCATGAACTGGAGAGCCCCAGTTAATGGCACAGTTTAAATGCACATTATTTTCATACAGTTTTTATGAATGTGGTGGGTGCCAAGCTGTAGCTGGCAGGGGTGTTGTGCTTATTCTATGCTAATCTCAAAAATGGTTTAGATTGAAGGAGAAAAAGATGGGAAGCAGCTACAGACCAGTAGCTTGGATGGCTGAACAACGGGAGGGACAGCATATTTTTGTTTTCTAGAACATTCTTTACACTGCTCCAAAAGATGAAAAAATAGGACAAGAAAGCTTTTAATATGCATTTTCTTTATATGAATAGACAGTGTATATTTCTGACTCTCTGATTCACCTGAATGCCATTAGAATCATGCTGTCTCTTCAAAGGGAAAGATGGTGGTGTCAGAATTCACAGTGGTGACAGGGCACCAAACATGCCACACTTATTCTACAGCAGCAGTTGGCAGAACATAGATTTCCAGATGTTTTGGACTTTCTCCCAGCATTTCTGACCATTGCCAGGGGCTTCCGGGAATCAAAGCCTCCAACATCTGAAGACGTACCTTCTGTTCTTCTAGAGAACACACAGCTAAGCTGGAATGCAGATGAAACAGCCCTGCTGAGGCTAAGTGCAGGCTCGGTTATCACAGCTCACACTCCTACCTTCAAGTGGATCTTCCTGACTAATAGACCAGATGGGCACAGTCAGCCAGCTGAGCACCTATGAAGAAAGTACTGGAAGCAACCAGGGCAAGATGGGCCACAGCTCAGTGACTGAATGCCTGGCACTTCCCGTGCGGAAGTTCCCATGCAAAACATCAAGATGAGTCCTTGGCATCTTCCAGCAGGGAAGGACCCCAGAGAACCACTGTAGGCAGAACTGAGCTGCATAGACCAAGGCTTGCCCCTCTTTCCGGACAGGAAGAACTACTGAAACGTGGAGCTCACGGCACTTTAGTGAGAGGCCTCAAGTTCAGTGGTTACAAACCTGAGATGGGGATGCACAAAGCACTCATCCTTATCCCAGATGACATTTCTGTGAATGAGTGGCCAGACAGACTGGGAGTCATGCAGAATTCATACTGCTTCACTGACACATCCATAGCTCAGGCTTGTCTACAAAGCTTTTAAACATTTCCCTAAATGCTCCCCAACTGATACAGAGTTATGTCCACCTGTGGATAAAGTGCTTTTTAAAAACCCCAGAGTGTGAACCAGCCATGGAGGAAAGGAGGCACCAATTCTGAGGCTACGCTGCCCTCTGTTGGCCATGGTGGAGACTGCAAGCAAAGGGAAACGGCTAGCTGAGAAAAGGAAAACCTGGCTCTCTGCTAGAGTGCCTCAGGGTTGCCTCCTAAGGAAAGATTGCTTCACACACAATGAGACTCGTCAGTCACTGCTGTGTAAGCATTTCTCGGAAGCATGCATGTAAATTGTTACCCACAATAATCCATTCTTCAACCTGGGCGGATTGTGCACATATGCTGAGATCATTAATTATGCCCATAAGGAAATAGGTGTGAATGAATGCAAACCATTCCTAGATGAATTCCATATAAGGGGATAAGATGGAGGAGGAGATGTAAGCTGCCTTGAGCCCTTTGTAGGAAAAAGGCAGGATATAAATCGAAAAAAAAAAATAAGAATCTCTTTAGCTACAGATTGGCCCCAAGAAGGGCTTGTGCCCAGTGCTCTTGAACCCAGGATTCCTGACTCTCAATCTAAACTGGCACACGCTTCTTAACGTTCCTGGATGTGGGTTTTCTCTACTGGGGAGACCCCTCCATCCTTGCTATGCACTTTTCTGCTCTTGAAAAGATCAGACATCTGCCATCCCAAGATGTTAGATTCAAACTTCAGAGCAAGTTCAGGGCTGGCCCAGGTTTGGAGGTTAGCCAAAAAAGGGGGAACAGACTGGCATTTTAGCCCAGAATGAATAGGGGTGGTAATGCTGGAATACTTTGACTGAAATGGTACCAAAAACTCTCATTGATCAGAAAACAGATTCACACATCATCATCATCATCATCCAACCAGGAGAAGAAACGATTGTCCCAGTTTAAAGGGCAAACAGTGGTTAAAGCCTCACATCCTCTCCAGTCAAGCTTTTGCCCTAGACCAGGGATGTCCCATCTTCGGCCGTTCAGCATGTTGGAGTGTCTCAGGTTCACTGCCTTAGAGAAACCCCTCACGAAATCTGAAGGAGTTGCCCCGGCCCACTGACCTGTCAGAAGGAATCTAGAAGGAAGATAGGAACTACTGCAACATTATTGGTGACATCAGTGCATTTTTTTCTTTCTGGTCAGGAATGAAATGAGTTGCAACTTGCTGAACATGATTTCTGGGGGAAGCAGTAGGGAATTAATACATACAGAACTATTCAAATCATTTCATTCAGATTTATCGCAATGCTTCATATACAGATAGGTTTTATGTCAGCAAGCTAACATTTATTTTTAACCAAGGGCCCTCAAAGTATTGTTGTTACACTGCATTTATAGCCTGCCTTTTTTCCTCTTGTGAAGAACCCAAGAAGCTTACCTACATCCATTTTATCCTCACAACAACCCTGTGGGGAAGGTTGGGCTGAGAGTTTGTCTTGAAGTCTCCGGTGAGCTTCAAGCCCAGCAGGGACTAGTCTCCAGTGCATCGCTCTCACCACACAGCGCAACAACCAGGGGATAGGAACAGATACATGCAGCTACCTGCTAGACATATATGTGAAGTGTCAGCCCACATCACTAGCAACGCCGTGGCCGAGGAACCCAATTTCGCTTGCTCGGGCACGCGCGTTCAGCACGGCGGACGCAGGCCAGGCGGAAGCCCCGGAGCACCACTCTGGCGGGCGCTCGAGCTCGGGGACGGGCTGCAGCGCACGACGGGGGGCGGCATGGGGCGCGATCCCCGCCCCCCAAGGGGCTCCACAGCCCTCTCCATTGCCCACGGCCACACGGAATCCGTTTTATTGGAAAAGGAGGTGTGCGCGCGCTTCAGAGGATTCCTCGCAACGCAAGAATCTGCCTTCCCCCCCCCCCCCCATTTTGGTCTCCCTCTCCTAAGGACGGATCCCGTCCCTCCGCCCAGAAGCCGGACACAAGCACCCGAGCTCTCGCTGGTTCCTTCCACCCTATCGCCACCCTCTTCCTTGCCGAAGCCGGCCCAAGGGTGGGTGTGGCGAGCCTGTTCTCTCCTCCCCTTTTGTGGCCTTCCTTCCTAGCCATCTTTCCAGCACGCACGCCCCAGATCAAAAAGAAGAGTGGGGGAAATAAAATAATAGGGCCCTGCCCCCCCACGCCACGCACCAGCCCCCCCTCCACCTTGGGCTTTCGCCCCGGCCCCCAGAGCTCAGCGTCTTGCACCCCTTCTGCAGGTTTCCCGCCGTGAGGCAAAGCGGAGCTCTCCGCGGCGCACCCGGAACACCATGAATATATTCCGCTTCCTGGGAGACATTTCGCATCTGTTAGCTATAATCATCTTGCTCTTGAAGATCTGGAAGACGAGATCATGTGCTGGTAAGAAAGAAGGACAGAGGGGCGAAGGAGGGGGTCCCTGCTCATTCTGCGAAGCGCCCATGTAGGCATGCATCCCACTCCTTATTCCCGGCCTGAACGTGATCCCCCCAATGAATGTAGCGTCCTCTGAGCCAACTTCAGTGGCCTCCTTTGCGCTTGCAAATTTCCCACTAACGGCTCTTCTCTCCCATTTCTGAAGATTGTAGAGCTGTGCACACTTAAACCCCCATTGAAAATAGTGGGGCTTGCTTCCGAGTAAACATACGAGGATTGTGCTGTGAAACTGAACGTTGGCCCTTTGAAAGTGATGAGGTGGCCCTTTCAAAAGGCACTGATTGAAACAAGAAAAAAGCTCCACCTTTCTATCAACTTGTATTTCAGGTATTCAAGTCTATTCCTGTGGTAGTTTTTTCCACTCTGATTTACAAATGAATGATAAAGTATCATCATGATAAAGTTTTAGGGTAAAAAGTTGTTTCTTAGCATTCTTTATAAAGAGAGAGTGCTTGTTATTTTCAAAAGGCCAAATTGTTCTTATTCAATTAATGGGTTATTGCAGACGGAACCTCCGTAGGTTTACTCTGAAGTAAGACTCACTTGGAAGAATCATTTCAGGGGAATGTGCACAGAATGCAGCCTTAAAGCAACAAATATGCTCCCCCTTTTAGGAGGCTACTGGTGGGTTTTTCTTTAAATACTTCAGAACTTAAGATTTACACTTCCCTTTCATATCCTTTTGAAGTCTGAATGCAACTGCAAAAGTTAATAAACTTTACTGTATGTTGGGACTTTTTTTAAAGGTAGCCCTGAATTTGGCTTGGAAGACCGAGCCTTTTCTTTAGGGGAAACATCTATTTTTTATTATTAAAGATAGTAATTGGTTGTGGAATGTCAAAGTGGTGCAGAAATTGCATACCCGTGATGTTTGGCTCACTTTTTCCAAAAGGTGACCCATCTTTCACTTGTGGGTTAATAATTTCATTTTTATAGCAATACTTTATAATTAAGACATCTATTTTAAGCTTGCTTTTTAGGTAATGGTTTTCTTTCCAAAGGTGCATAGCTACCTCAGCAATGGAGGTGGGGGGGGGGAACAAGTTGTAAAGAGAGGACTTTAACCGGAAGTTGAATTTTGGTCTTTCTTGATTAAATAAAAGATGTGGAATTCCCTGGAGATAAGCCTGTTGCAGGGAATGGGGTATTGAATGGACAGAATGGTGACGTGGAAACTAGTTCAGATTACATTGAATAAAGTTTAGCTAAACTCCACCTTCTGAGGAAGAAAAAAATAGAATTGGGCTTGCTAGTTGCCTGGGTGATTGCCGGCCCCATGGAGAGTGAGAGGGTTGACAGAAGGGAAGCCAGAGGCCTAGTGTGGGTGGGAAACTGGGAAAGGCCATGGATTAGCTCATGGAGTAGGCCCTGCCAGTGATGCATCATGCCAGTTTTAGTCTTCCATAGGCAGCACTCCACTGCCCCAGCTCTGAAGGTCTTTTGAAAACTTGGTGTCTGTCTGTCCAACCTTCTGAGTGTTGAAACTTGAGCGACTGTGATTTTGGGCTGTAAAATCCTGAAGGGTTTTCATCCATGTGCTCACTTCTTTACAACTTTTCAGTTGGTCCCAATAGAGATATTATGTGTTGTTACTTTGAGTTAGGTGAAGCATATTTACTAAAGAGCCAGCATGGCTACCTGCAATTTTTGTTATTTCACAGAACTCCTAATTTTTCTCCTGTGGTTATTTGTGCGTTTCACTGCCCTGTGCTTCTCCATGCAGGGATTTCTGGGAAGAGCCAAGTTCTCTTTGCCATTGTCTTCACAACTCGGTACCTAGACCTATTTACCAACTACATCTCACTGTACAACACCTCCATGAAGGTACAGGCTTGCCACCAGACTAGTTCTGCTTTTGGATTGGGACTCCGTGGGATGAGAGGCTAACAGGCTTGGGTGGGTGCATGGATCTGATAAGACAGAGGGGGGAATGCCTAGGTAGATGAGTAGGCTTTTTTCTCAATTAAGTTCCCCCGAATGAATACACTTTGCCTGAAATGGCTTAGCATTGCGGGAGGGAGCAGGACAAAGCAGGCAGCCTCTTGCAGTGCGATCCTGTGCACACCGACTCAAAAGCAACGCACTATTCAAGCCTTCCTAAATTGCACAGGCTAAACACCGAGGTGTGAGAGCACACCAGCCCTGCCATTCTGCTAGTGTTTCCATTGCCCTCTACACATAGAGGAAAGCATTTTAAATGTAGGTGAGCCTCTTCTGTGTGGGAGAGCATATTTGTGGGTGTTTTCCACACGAGCGGGAATGTCAGAAAGCGGGTGTTTCAGAGTGCATGGAGAGCCTCCATGCACTCAGGAGGCCCTCCTGTTCAAAACATCACCTTCCCCATGTAGGGAGCAGTGGAAATGTGTGAGGAGGGGTGGGTCTAGCACATTTCCCTTGAAGGGTGTAATGCTTACATCCTTTATGAATGTAAAAAAGGCCTTGAAGCATAGAATGCAGCCTTAATTTAGGGTGCAATCCTATACATGTTTAGACAGAAAAAAGTCTATAGCTCTCTGGCTAAGGAATGCTGGGAGTTATCGGACTTGCTTCTGTCCAACCGTGCACAGAATTACATTGTCATTTTCTTATCTCTTTTAATCAAAACAAATATATTCATAAAATATTTAATAAACCAGTAGAAAGCCTTAGGTTTATTAAGAACAATGTGATGCAGATTTTGTTGCTATTTTTGCAGCAAATAAATATTTTAAAATGTTGTAAGACAGGTTTCCTAGGGAGACATGGATTCTCCATAATACGAAGGATAGAAAGGAATGGGACTGACTGAGAATGAGAATTGAAGGGGCTGATCTCAGTGATCCCGCTTGATCTTTTTTGTCTCTTGTAGGTGGTTTATATCGCATGCTCTTATGCCACAGTGTGGATGATCTATAGTAAATTCAAAGCCACCTACGATGGCAACCACGACACGTTCCGAGTGGAGTTCCTGGTTGTCCCTACAGCAGTGTTAGCATTTCTAGTGAATCATGATTTTACTCCTCTTGAGGTAATTTATTGTATGGGGTGGTCTGCTTTTGCCCTGAGACCCACGTCCCACATATGCATTCCTGTAGGTGAGATTTCCAGTCCCATTGTAAAAATTCTTCACACAGCTGGCTACAAGATTATAAAAGGGACTGCTACATCACAGAATATGTTCTCACCTTTATGTATCTGATGCTGTGTTCCAGCTTCTTGCTTTTCATGTTATTTTGCCTCTGCATGTGCTGGTACTTATTTCCTATTTGCCTACTTTTGCTTCTGAGCGTTATAGAGTTGGCCTTAATTTTGGTTTCTAAAGCAACACTGAATTTTTTTCAACTGCACCAATATGCTTATCCACAGATCAATGAAGCTTAAGTACATTTATATAAAATTAATTTTGAAGGTGGCACAGAGTGTGTGAGACTGCTATATAGCTGGAAATGTGTTTGGTTCAAAATAGACACCTCTACTGAACAAATAGATTGACAGAAAGAAATTAGTATGTTGTATCTGGTGAATAAGTTTATTGTATACAGTATACATTAATGGGTGGAGGGTGATAAGTCAATGGATCGGATTCAGACTAAGCTAATCACACTTTTAGTGAGGCATGACTAACTTAGTCTGGAGCCAAGCCAATTTTTGGGGTAGTGACATCTCAAGATATTAATCCAATTAAAGGACAGAAACTGTTTTACTGGGGGGAAATCCATTTTTTTAAAAAATCAGAGGATAAGCTGCAATCTACATCAGCTTCTTGTACTTTCTTCAGTTACAAATCAGGTAAAAATGAGCTGGGACCAACAGACCCTAAATCTTGCACTGTAATAGTGGACAATACAAATGTCACATTCTCTGCAACTGATGGGAGCACAGCTTTGTGTGGAAGGTGATGCCCATATTTGCCTCTGCACTCCTATCCTGCAAATCATCTGGATGGCCCATGCTGGCCACCTAGCATGGTGCTTCAGGACAGAGAGGAAAGGAGGCTAGAACACTGTCAGGCAAATCTAGTTTCTTTTGCTTCCCCAGAATGTCCTTTTTGCTCCTTTCCTGAGGTCACTGCTACAGCTCTGGTGAAGCCACCAGCACAGTTCATTCTATGCAGCTGAGGTGGGCAGAGGTGATTCAGACATGGATTCCCTGCTCAGAGTTCTTTTCTAGCCTCAGAGCTGTGAATCTAAAGCATCTAAATCTAGATGCTAAATAGGGGCCATAGGATTGATCTGTCTGTTATGTTTCATTATCAAGAATGCATGTCCCAATCATTCTGTGTCGCTTTTGGACTCCTGCAGATTCTCTGGACCTTCTCCATCTACCTGGAGTCAGTGGCTATCCTGCCACAACTCTTCATGGTGAGTAAAACAGGCGAGGCTGAGACCATCACAAGCCACTATCTCTTCGCCTTGGGTGTCTACCGTTCCCTCTACCTGTTCAACTGGATCTGGCGTTACCAGTTTGAGGGCTTCTTCGACCTCATTGCCATTGTGGCTGGCTTGGTGCAAACCATACTGTACTGCGATTTCTTCTACCTCTACATTACAAAAGGTACCTCGAAACAAGAAAATCTTGATGGGATCCTATAGGTAGAATGGGAGGATTCTGGGATTCAAGGTTCTTAGCACTGGGGCGGGAGAGTCAGTTAGTTGAGAACTGGTACATCTCAACAAGATGCCCAAATTTTCCTTGAATGAAAGGTGTTGCTAATCTGAACAATCACTAGAGGGCAATCTACAGCTGGAGTCAGACCTCAGCCTCTCTGGTGCAGACATACCTGTTAACATCCCATTGGCATTTTACTGATTGTAAATTGGCAAAAATTAATTAGTTCTGATATCTTCCAATGACACAGATAAACAGTTCTCACATTCTGAAGACTAAACACTTGGAACTTATTCTGATAATAGTGAATGAAAATTTGGTCCAAGCTTACTAGATGTAAGCATCATGTCGGACAATAGATTATGGGATACGATTAAGGAGCAGGAAGATTATCAATTATATATTTTCTTGGTCTGTGTTTACTTCTGTATGGGTGGGTGCTGCTTGGATTTTTTTGATGCAGGTACAGAAATGTTTGATTGGTCTCTAGCTGAATATTAATATATATAAGTGTGGGTGGGTGGTTTTTAGAGGGAAGTATGATAGTTTTATGTTTGGTGTGTAGAAACACAGACTTATGGATGCACAATTTAACCTTGCAATATGGAAAGCTTTTTCAGTGTTCTGCCAGGTATGCCTTCTTTCAAGATACTTAATCCCATTCCCCTTTTCTTCTTCCTCCTGCCTTGGCTTTTTTTCCCCCGTCCCCAACACACTTGGCATTCTATGAATAATGAATGCACTGTCAGTCATCACTGGACTATTTGAGTGTTTGTTTTGTCCACTTAGCTTCCCCCCCCCAATAATAATTCTGCTTTTGTATTTTCCTATGTGGAATATTTCTGTTCACTTATACCCTTATTTGGGATACTGTATTCCATCTCCCCTCCTTTAAAATTTTACATTTCCCCCACTGTCTGCAGAGGCAAATGAGGGGAGGGAGAGGTATACCCTGTAGGGAATAGAAGTAGACTTGGAAGGCCATCAAGTCCAACCCTCTGCTCCATTTCCACATGCGCTCACCCATCTGGCTGCAAGGCCACACCTTTCCTGCTTAATAAAAGTGATTCAACATGCTAGCTGAATATATAGTTATGCAGGCAGGCAAGGAGGGAGTCAGTGGCCGTACCCACAGTAGCCAGCAGCCTTCCTCTGTCTCAGCGTCCTCAGCATAGCATTGATTCACATAGTTCACACCAAAGGTTCCAGTAATCTTGCAAAGGACTTCAGGGGGCCAGTGAGAAACAACCTCTCCCAAATTAGTGGGTAGCAGCAACCATCCACTGTGGGGTTGGGGGTTTAGAGCTGCAGCCTCACTCATCCTGCCAGCAGATTTCCCCTCTTTCCTTATGGCACCAATTTCTATTCTAAGTCTGTAGTGGCTATTGCTGATTAGTACATGTTCTTTCTAAAGGATTGCTGAAAAGATTTTTCCTTGTCCAGCCGCAGTTGCATTTCAGTACTTGGTAATAGGGGCCTACAGCTTTATTTACTACACTTAACTTTCTACCAAATTGGCCTGAGGTCCCTCTAAGTGGATTGCAATCAGTTAAAACATATCCTAACAATAATAAAAACAGCCAAATAAAAATTGAAATATAGCAAAACTAAAATGAAATTCTCATGCAACCTTTTTCTATTTCCTTCTGCAGTTCTAAAAGGCAAGAAGCTGAGTTTGCCGGCATAGTTCAAAATGAGACAAGATACTTTGGCCCAGAATGAGGGGAATCCTTCAGAGAAAACTAAGACACATGGTTTCTTTTTTTCAACCAACCCAAGTTAGTCACCTGTTGGTCTCTTCTTGCACCCTGAACTTTTACCTTAGTGTGATCTGGGACAAAAGAATGGCAAGTCCTTCTGTTCAAGAGACTGATATAGATGGGGGTGAGGTGGGGTATAGCTTGGAGTCCAAGCTAATAATGGCTACTCTTGGCCAGTCTGTAAGTTTCTCAAAATATCCCTTTGATCATTCTCCTCAATTTCTATATTCTTGACTCTTATTTTGTTGATAACCAGTGCAGGGAAAAATGCTTTTTTAAAAAAGCTGGACATCTCCCTCCTCCCACTTCGCACTCATGGTTTGGGTGTTGTGCTGGTAACTGCTAAGAAGAAGTCAGAGCTTTTCTTTTTGTGAGGGCCTAGTGCTGTGGAGCTGTCTGGAAAAACATAAGCGCTTACATATTTAGACTGTTTCCTTTATATAGTGATTTTGGGGCCTCAATTTTTAAAAAAGATGACTGGTGCGAAAAGACCTAAATATTCTGTCATTTACTATTTCTTCATTTTGTATATTTTCTGATGGCTAATTCCTCATCCACTTTAAATAAAAGAGAAAAAATAAACTTCCCCCACCCCCATTAATTAGTGCCTTTGTGGGAGGGATGGGAATTTGAATAAAACAACGTTGTTTTGTTGCTTGTTTGCACTGTAATCTTTGTGCTTCCCTGCTCATGCACACTTGTCTTCATTTCTCATTGTAATATTTTGTACAGTGCTTGTTCTGATGTCTGCTGAAACAGTGACTTCCTTCTCTTGGGGCCTATTCTACATTAAATGCTGTGTTGAGTCAACACACACTTTTTGTAACTGCCCAGATATCTGGTTGTCCTAGATACTTCTAGGTTGTCTCATAGCTAAATAATCTTAATAGCAAATTTGCTTTTAACATGTTATTAAAATATGCAGCCCACATTGCCCTTAGCACTGAACCTGGAAATTTGCTGATTTTTGGTAGCAAACCAGTACAAAAAGTTAAAATAGTCAAATTTAGTTTGTTTTCAAGTTAAATTTGGTAGTTTTAATCTTTTGTACTGATTTGTTATTGGAAGTTGATGGCAACATGCCAGGGTTTTTGCCACTGCCACTTCTGATGTTGCTGTGGTGGCAGGAATGTGGCCCATGGGGGTGGGTGAAAATGTTCCCCAGATCCTCCCAGAGTTGCTTAGCCTGGCATTAAAAGGTACATTTGAACCTCTCTAATGCCACTCCTGCCAGATGTGAACATTAATGCAAGATGGAATATAGGTGACTACTGTGTGCTTTTAATCTAGGCTTCCTGTTTGCATTGTTATCTGATTTACAGTGTAATCTTACTGTGTCAGCTTAGAAGTAAATCTTACTGAGCTCAGTGGGGCTTACACCCATGTATGAATGAATGCTTATATTCGGTCGTAAATATCACCTTGGAAGTGATTAGGGTAAGAGGAATCTTAAGAGTTAGTACAACATTTCCAGCAAAGTAATATGTCATGAGATGCTTGGAGTAACATATGCAGAAGCTTTCTTGCTGGATTGTGGTTCATGAGAGTTTACAATGAGGCTGCAGTCCTATACAGACTTAACTGGAAGTATAACCCATTGAGTTCAATGAAAGCCATTTCTGAGTAACCACATAGAGAAATGAACTGTCCTTAAGCTTTTTAAGTGACAATGCCAGAAAAATGCTTTAAAACTAACTAATGCTGAGGAGCTCTACAGTTTGCAAATGTTTTAAGATAATAGGGAGATGCATGGACAGGGTATGCTTTTAAGTCATTTATACTTAATATGAAGCTGATCTTGGAGCAATTTGTAGTGTCTCTGTTTTTTGCAGTAACAGTGTTTCTCTAGTTCTTCGCATAAGAAAATAACAGCACTCTAAAATAATGTTCAGTAGTTGTTACTAAGTAAATTTGAGTCTGTCGGGTGGTGGTGTGACACAGTCCCTCTTGTATCAACCACTTATATTCTCCCTCAAATTCCATGGAGAAACCTTGCTGCAAATTGGATTATAAACATAAACTGTTACTGGTAGCCATTTCTATAATCACTTTAGCTAGCAAAATTGCCACAACAATTATGGCAAATGACAGCTGGCCACTGTGGGATGTATCTGTATATATAGCCTGATTCACACAGATTTTTTCCCCACACAGTCCTACACAGTAGCATTCACCTGGCTCAAAGAAGCAGTGTAGCTCACATCTGTGGAAAAAAATGGGAGATGGTCTATATTTGCAGGCCTAGTGTGGAAGTTTCCAAACTGCATCTCAACTGGAGAAAGTAGCTGCTAACAGATTAGTAACCTGAGTGTACCAAGATATTTTGCGGTCTAAGGCAAAAATTGAGACAGTACCCCTATTCTCCCCTCCATTCCATGTACGTAAAGTGATTGGACTTGCTGCCTGTACTATTCAGGAGGTGCATGGCAGGCTCTGTGCTACACAACCAGCTCTGTTCTCCATCATCTTGCTGACCCTGTCTTTCCCCAAATCTGCTACCTGAGGCAGTGATCTCACACTACCCAATAGCAGGGTCATCATTATAAGCAACTAAATGATAGCAATCAAATGCCCCTTCCATCACTTTTATATATTTTTATATGGGTGCCTAAAAAAATAGTCAAGATAGCCACACACTGCAGATTCAGTTGAGAAAACAGCACAGTACTATGGCAGCTGCATGTGCATGTTCTCTCTTCCTTTCTCCCCAGCTATCAAGTTATTTGCCTTTTAGGAGAAAAAGAGTGAGGGTGTTCTAAAATATTGCCAGATGCCAGAATAGTGTAGTTCCTAAACTAGAAGCTGCATTGTGGGGATATCCTGGTTTAAAAGGGCTGGATGAAGCTTCCAGAATATAGTCCAATTCCTAAACAAGTGGAGCAGAAAGTAGCTGAATATCCACTGATTTTGTAAAGCTACTTCATACTATTTAGCATATCAAGTATCCCTTGTTGCATTACTATTCTTTGTCCCTCTACCTTCATCTTGTTCTACTTTAGTAAAACTACATTTCCAAATAAAAGATAAATGTTTGGGTTAGTTAATGTTCTTTCTCCACCTCTTTAATTTTTGCAGAATTAAATAATTGCCTAGTCATCAGTATTCATTAATGTCAGCCGATGAGGTATAGGTGTAGATGAGTAGGAGGCTGCACCCACATTCTCAGGATACCCCATATTGTTGGGAAGGGAGGTGGTGGTGGATGAAGAAAGGGTGGTTAAGGCAACAGATCCTTCATCTAGTGTCCGCTTGTAAGGAATAGGTGGCTCAGCCCACAGGTTTTTCACAGCCAGATAGGCTAGGTACACCTGTGGGAAAGAAGAAGTGGCAGGTCAGATACATGTATTCAGCTGTGAAAATAGTTGACTTCTACGCCAATATAAATTGATGGAAAAAAACAAGGAAAAAAACCATACTGAGCAAGTATAGGCCAATTGTAAGAATACTGGCTTTACTCTGGAAGACATGGGTTAAAATTAAACTCGTGTATGGACTTGAGGTCTAATTTTAGGTATATTACAACTGACCTTTCCAAAATAACTAGTAAGGGTGTCTTGAAACTGATGAGTACTGTGGTTAATCAAAGCGTTTGATAACCAACAAATTCTTCCAGAAATGTTGCTGCTTTTTGTAACAAAAACAGTTTCTGTCAGAAACATAAATGAAAATAAGTGTGATAAAATACTTTAATTTTGTAAGCTTACTGAAGAAGTTGGTTGTTTTTTAAACTCAAGAAGTGCATTCTCACTGAGTAGTATGGCTGCATAAGATGAAAAAAATATTTTTGTATTTGAAATTAAGTTTAGCGATATTTGTATTTTCATCATTGTTGGACAATTAAATGTGCATTTCTTAGGAACAATCCTATGGTCCCTAGACAGCATCTGGGGAGAGCATAGGATATTTCAGATTTCCAGCTTCAAGGATGAAGACCATGCTTCAGCCTTGGGGCTGGGAATTAGAGCTCTAAACCTCTATCTTCCTTTCTGGTATGGAAAGAACTGTGTTGGCTGCTCTGCAAGGTTGGGAGCACCTTAGAGAAAGGGCAAAGGGGGCATTTCAGTGAGTGGAGAGGGAAGGAGACTAGAAAGGCCAGAAGGTGAGTTACCCTGAAGCCTGTCTAGCTAAATGGGTTTTGAAAAAAATCTATTTGGTAAAAAAGAGTCCAGGAAGACTTGGTACACGAAGATCACTTTTGGCACTCTTCCCGCTCTGCATAGGATGACTGTGTGTCTGAGTTTGGAGGCTTATAGGCATTGCAATAGGTTTGTACCCAACAGGAAAATGTTGTTGCTATAGATAGAGTATGCAAGATAAACATGGTTCATTTTCATTAGTTGCTTTATACTGTTGGGTGAGGATGATGTACAGAGTATATTAGAATTGTGATCCAGTATATTTTACATACTTTCATAAATATTAAACACTGAGGGAGAGGGAGGTGAGGGACAGTCAGTTCAGAAGGAAGTGAGCTCTTAGAAGGGACCTATTCCTTAAGCAATAAACTAATACCGCTCATGCTAAGGATATGCCTCTGGGCTGAGGAAGATCCCAATAGTTTGTTGTTGTGTACTGTTAAGTTGTCTCTGACTTATGGTGACATATGAATGAAAGCCCTCCAAAATGTCCTATCTATGATAGCCAGGCTCAGCTCTTCCAGATTCAAGTCTGTGACTTCCCTAATGCAACCTGTCTCATATTTGGTCTTTCCTTTCTTCTGCCTTCAACTTTCCCTAGCATGATTGTCTTCCCCAGGGAATGTGCCTTTTCAGGATGTGCCCCAGGTATGACATCTCAGTTTGTGATTTTTGCTTCTTAAAGATCCTAATAGGAGGATCCCAGAAGTTACATGCTAGCAAGCATAGCATCTGTTCTAAGTAAATTAGCAGAAAGTACTATTCAAGTTAAAATTATCAAGCATTTCCAAGAAAAAAAATATTGACGAGAAATTAAAATGGCTTCTGCAAAGGTAAGTCCTGATGTGCTACTTCTGTACAGTTCTTAGATACTGTCGATAAGACACTGGATAGGGAAGATTATATAGATGGTTCACACAACACAATCCATATTTGTGGTTGAATGTGCATTGTTGTTGAACCATGAGCTGTGCTGTGTGAAGCCAGCCACAGTAATAAATCATGGTTCATTAACCCCAACTATTAATTCACAGTCCAACAATAAATTCTTTATGGATTGTTTGTGGTTCACAAATTATTGTTAGTGCAGTTGAGTTCACAACACAACCCATGTTTCAGCAATAACCTATGTCCTGCCTTGAATATGGGTTGTCAAGAGGTTTTAAACAAATGAGCAGCCCCAGTTTGATGGAATCTTTGCATAATGTTGAGATAGCCCTATATTTAATGGAAATTCTCCATTTGCTGCATGAATTAACTGTACATCTTCCTATAATGCATACATTAATCCAGTGTCACAATAAGTTGTAACGGCCAGAAACTTAGATGACTTTAAAACGGTATTACACAAATTCATGGAGGATAAGGCTGTCATTGGCTACCTTCAAGATCAGAGGTACCATCCCTCTAAGTTGCTAGAGAACAACAGCAAGAGTGGCCATTATCCTTGCACACTTTCCATAGGTATCTGATTGGCCACTGTAAGAAACAGGATACTGGACCAGATGTCATCTTTGTTTTGATTCAGCAGTGCTCTTACTTATTTGAAGAACTGGCTAATTGGATTTGGGAGATGAAGGAAGTTGGTGGGGACGTGTGGATAAATGCTGAGGGAGCTGAAAGCTGGGCAGAAGAGAAAGGTAAATGAAGGGGAACGGAAGATGTGTCAGAATACCAAAACATACAGTACATTATATTATAATAGGGCTTTGTAAGTAATGTGTTTGTTAGTAAGAGAAATGTTGTGCTGTTTTTTTCATGAATGCACATGCATTTATTCTTGGAATCCAAATAATATTTAAAATGAAAGCATATATTTCCAATGTACTAAGCCTGAGGATCAAAAGACTGGTTCCATTTTCCATTTTTTGTAACTGTTCTTAAATCGTCTGTATTTGTGATCACCTTTCCTCATAACTGAGTGAAACTGACAGCAAATCTTCCAGTTTCCCACTGCAGTTGTAAAATAAGATTATAGTCAAAGGTGTACTTGCTGCAAATTCTACTTAGTGAACTGCTATTCTAAGCTGAGGGAATTCAGTTGCCCTGTGCTTGACAGGAGGTCAGGTTGGATGTTACCAATGGTTCCTGCTGGAGCTAAAATTTTCGTTATCTGCTCAGCCATCCCGATCTAACACAATTCAGCCGTGGGCTGGACTGAGTCCTGAATTGCTTGGGTTCATTCTGTGCCAGCTTGTAGATGAAGGCCTGCTGCAACTGTTTCTATGTGAAGACTTCTTCTGATTAATTCTACAGCTTGTTGACGGGAAGTGTGAGTCACCCAGTCCCACAAGGAGTAAGGAATAAACAGGTTTCAAAAAAGCTCAGTCCTGAGGTAGTTTTCTCAGCCATTGAAATTAGTGGGAATATATTGTGGCCTTAAGACTGTAATACAAGCAGGCACGATTTTTCTTGTTTTCTGTTTGTGTCACTACTAAGCACCCATTTGTAAACTCTACCAGGAATAAGCTTATAGTGTGGTTTTCTGAGCCCCTAAATATAAATCTGGAAATTTCTGATATTCACAGGAAAGGAATGAGAGGGCTCTTTTCTCTAGTAAATCACCCAGAAGCTTTGGCTATTAGATGGTATAGAAAATAAATAACACTAGTAATAAGTCAGGTGACATAAAATTGTCTATGCTCATCAAAATTTTGACCATGTAGCAATATGCATATATTGCCTTTTGGGAAGCAGAGTAGACTGTGATACTACTTCTAATCCTCTAGACTAATCAAGAGCAAAATTTCTAGACCCAGCACCTACTTTTTGCTCTACATTAAGCAACGGACCTTAAAAAAAACCCAAACAAACCCTTGGCCTATTAGTATGAATGATCTGCCATTTCACATGGTTTGAGAGGTCTACCTCTGTACCCTCTGTGCCATTACAGGGGAGGCTGGAATACATCTTTGGAACTGCCTCCTATAAACAATCTGGAACCCGTGCATAACCTCTATTACACCAAAGGGAAAAGACGAATGCACCTCCAGGATTACCAGCTGCAAAAGCTATTTATTTTAATGGTGGCACTGTTTGTATTGGTACAACTCATCAGCTGCTCTAGCTAGGCTTAGCAATGGAATTGAGTGGCAGCAGCAATTGCTCATGTACCTCTATTTTTAACCAAAATATTGAGGGAAGGTGGGTCAGGAGGAGATGACTTCTTTATATTGCCCTAGATAAGATGTACGTGGCAATGACCAGGGATTTGCTGACCTACATAATTCTAATTTTTTGGTGCTTCTGGACTTTTCATGAATTAATTTGGTTAGCAGTCTATTTGCCTGATTTGAGAGAAGCATCTTGTTTCTTCCATTTACTATTTTAGTCAATAGACTGCTAATCTCACTTGTCTGTTCCCTGCTTCCCAAAAACGTAGACGTTACTAACAACTGATATAGGACCAATAATAAAACTTCCTGAGCTACTCTTTTTGTCACTTATTCTCTATAACTAATGTGAAAATCCATTTTGCTACCGTGAGTAGATTTAGCAGCCACTGCAATTGCACAAACTCTAAATTGTGCAATGAGGCAATAAGGTGCTAGTTTGTTGTAGCTCAGCTTTAGTCTACCTGTACATGCTAAAGAGGATTATGCTTCTTATATGACATTTAATAAAAAAGAGACCAGCCACTCTGTAGAAGTAAAAATACTGTGCCTTCTGGGATCACCCCCATTTGGCCCCCATCTGCTTTAATAACTAGGGTATGTGCCACCTACTTCCTGGAAGGGGTCAATTTTGACTTTGCTAAAATGGGGTTTTCTTTACACCTATTAACACTGTAAGGATGTACTCTAACACAGTAGGGGTTCTCCCTGCTCTGAAATAAAAAGGGGACTACTTGACTGACTCACCCAGCATGGAATGGAAAGGAGGGCAAAGGTGATACTAGCTCGTGCTGCACTACTTCCCAGCAGGTAGGAGTGAGTTGACCGGTTCCACTGATTGGCTAGGAAACAGAACCCAACAAACCACAGGCATGTCCATACAACTGAAGAGAAAAGAAGAGGTTAGCACATGATAAAAATATTTGAAGACACAGATGAAGCTAGATTCTGCATGAACCACTTGAGATATTTGTTGAACTATCAGGAGAAAGTAATACTTGGTAGCCACTGTTCTCCACCCCTCTGCCTTGCTCTAAGAATCATTAGTTTTATCTTGACATATTGGCTGAAAAAGATAGCAATATAATTAGACCTGAGAAATGTTGGATATAGAAATACTTGACAGATCTGACTGAAAATGTACTCCCAAATGATCACAGGCTGTTATACAGGGTACTTTAGTAAAATGCATTGCAATTTACTTTTATTTGAGGAACAGACTTTGTAAATGTTTTGTTTTTAAACTCAAGCTCAGTTTTAAAGACAGATATAAATCATATTTGGCTCATCTGGGATCTTGCACTTCCCAGTTCCCATATCTAGTTTGTAGTATCTAAAGCTCAAGTTGGTCAAGATGTGGGTATGAGCAGAATTTCCCGTTGTTAATTTTTGAAGTTAAATATAGATGCAGAAAGTGGGAGGGGAGAACTGAATCTTCCACACATGAGTTTCCTGATCCAAATTTGGTAATCACCACCAAAATGCCACCTTCCATGACAGAAGATGAAGATTGGTTGTCATCAGGGACTCAACAGGTTCTTTGTTAGAGCTTATAGGACAACTGACAAGCTCTAAGATGGTGTCAGTGATCAAGTAGGCAGGAGAGTGTTCTTTAGCCCCTTCAGGAAATGTCTAATCAGATGGGGGAAAATTGATGCGCCATGGATTGTATCATGGAAGGAGGACATGGTAACTAGGTGAACTCTAACAGATGATGCTTTTAATCTGTACTGAAGCTGCATGACCAGGTAGAGGAGGACCTGTTCAATTGTGCAGCTCTTGGGACTGAATCCTTGTATGTCAGTGAACAGGGGGAAAGCATTCCACTTTACTACATTCAATTTCCTGGTTGCTGATTTCAGGTCTGCTTCTAGGATGGACTTTGGTCCTGTATGGAGAGGTGAGTATGCATGCAGGATAGCAGAAGTGCATCTCTCAGAGTCCTGTCTGAGAATAGAAGCTGTTGCAGACTGCATTGTCCTGAGTGGCAAAGAAATCTACAGATGGAATCCCCCAAGTCCTTAAAATTTCATAGAGAATCTTTGGGTCCCTCTGCCACTTGTGAATGTCAAGGCTTCTGCTGAGAGAGTCTGCTAGACTGTTCTCAGTCCTGGCAATGTGAACAGTGAGTCAAGGTGATGCATCTGTAATACACCAGTCCCAGATTCTGTGCTAGCAGAATCAATCTGGTGCTTCCCTGTTTGCTGATATAGAACACCACTGTTGTATTGTCCATGGTGGTTTGCACATGGTGTCCTGGCAGAAACTTGGAATGCTGCTAGAGGCTTCACTGCAAGCAGCCTGAGATGGTTTAAGTGCCTGCAAGTTTCTGACTTGTTCCACATTCCTTGTGTCTGTAGTTAGCCATAGTGGGCTACCCATCAAAACAGGGAGGCATCCATCATGACTATAAAGGATGGCTTGGGACTGAGCAATGGCATTCCCTTGGAACGATTGACAGACTGGGTTCGGACTGTAGTAGGCATCAGGAGCTGCTTTCGTGAATGACTGAGCTTGAAGGTGTGGACAAACCACAACTGAAGTGACCACATCTGGAGCCTGGCTGAGGGAACTACCAAAACAGTGGCCACTTAAGAAGCCGTTGAATCTGGAGGACCAATACTACATACTGAAGGAGTCTGGAGGCATCTCAACCAATGCTGCTGCTCTGGGTTTCAGGAGATATGCTGTCATTGTGGTAGAATATGCATGCTCCAATGAAGAGAATAGACTGGAAAGGGGAGAACAGACTTTTGGACATTTAGGTAGAGACCCAGTCTATCTAACAGAACACATGTTATGTGGTCTCCCTCAAGCAATTCTGATTTGGTTGGAGCCATCAACAACCAGCCATCGAGGTACAAGTATACCTGGACCCCTGTAAACATAAGTGGGCACACCATGGACATGCATTTTGTAAAGACCCTTGGCGCAGTTGAAAGTTCAAAGAGTAAAACTGAAAATTGGAACATCTCTCTTCCAACGTGAAAATGGAGAAATGTCTGTAGGACAGTGCTATCAAAATGTCAAAGTACGCATCTTTAAGGCTGATAGGTGCAAAACCGTCCCCCATTAAAGTACATGAAGAAATGCCTTGCAGAATAACCATCTGGAACCTTTAAAGTGAAATAAACAATTAAGGTCACCCAAATCTAGGATTGGCCAAGGCCCTCCATCCTGCTTCAATACTGTAGAATAGTGTGAGAAGAACCCATGGTGAGCAGACAGAGTGGTGATCCACTTAATTGCCTTCAGTAGAGGACAGTGAGTCTCCATCAGTATTGGAGAGGGGGATGTTACATGCATGGTACAAAATGGGTGGGAGGGTGTCAGACTTGATCCTGTAAAATCTCTAGATGATCCGCAGCACTCAAGTGTCTGATATAATCGCCTGCCACACAGGCAAGTGGGGAGAGAGATGGTCCTTAATATGAAAAGAAATAGGTGGGAAGAAAGGCAAAGGGCCAGCGAGTTCAGCCATTGCCTTCTGTTCCTGTCCCTATCAGGGTGCCTTTGTCCCTGGCAGAACTGAATATTGTCTTTCTGCCTATGGAATGGCACTGGTGGTTGGTGCTGCATTCTGCCTGCCTGGGGATAAGGAAAAGCAGAGGACACCTGCCCAAATTATTTATGTGGTCCTGCAAGGGAGTATTGGAAAACCCCCATCTTTGCCATGGTCCATTTTTTATATGTTGAATTTATCCACTTGTCCTTCTTAAAGAGCCCATCTCCATCAAAGGGCAGGTCCTCAATATGGGAATGGACCTCCTGCATCAGACCAGACAGGTGGAAGACAGGCATGTCTCATCAGGGCCACTGCACCAGTTATCACCTTAGTTCCAGTCTACCTGGTGCCTGGAACCTTTCCATGGTACCCAGGTAATTCAATACTTTTAGTCCTAGAACTGTTGAGGCATATATATGCCTCCCAAGAATGTTCAGGTGGAGTCCCTTGGTGTCAGAGTGTTGGTGATGTGCTCTCCTTTGAGATGACTCAATGACCACCAAGTTCGACTTAGTTTATTGAAAACGGAAGGCTACATCCTCCTCCTGTACACAATACATTCATTCCAACTATTTTGACATCAGAACCATCATTGATAGTGCCTTCCATGACTGCTGGACAACCTGCTAAATATTTGACTTCAGTTTCTCCCTGGATTTTATGTTTGCAGAGTAAACCCTATTTCCCTTCTGAAGTGCTTTAACTATGCTACCTTTCTGTTTCCGTGAATTCACACATATTTCACTAATGCACAGGATAGCAAACCAGAGGATTCATCACTTTCCTCAGAAATGCAGCTACATGAATGGATATCCCTAGACACATTTACAGAGTCAAAGATACAGGAATGGATGAGCAAAACGGGGAGCAGGTATAAGGGCAACTATGGTGGTGCAGAAAGAATGTTGGATTTAAACCAAGAAGACCAAAGTTCAAATCCCTGCTCAGCCACAAAACCCTGGGCAAGTCATACTCTCTCAATGTTGTGCAACACATTGGGTTGCTGTGAGGATAAAAGGGAGAGACTGAAACTGGTACCATAAACTCCATGGAACAAGGATGGGATAAAAATGCTGTAATAGTAATAATGCTCAACTGGCCTGACCGGTATCAGTGTTCAGTGACACTGGTGGTAGGCACTGTTACTGAAAAAGAAGGCACACTGGGAGAAACAGCAGGCTTAAAATGAATAACCCTTTGATTAATACGTGAGGGTAGTGGGTAGGAAGACAATATGCTCAATGGCTTAATTTGACAGAAGAGGGAATCCTTGACAGGCAGTGCAGATGGAGGCATGAAACCAGATGAGATGTCTGAGTGACATTTAATTTTGCCAAACTGGAATTGCATTGTGAACTGATACACTGGCAAATGCCAGGGCTTGGAAAAAAATGTTTCACATAGATATATAATGCCAACTCATTGCTCTTGCTTGAAACACTCCTTTGCTGTGATCATGCTTGTCAAATAAATCCTGACAGCTAGGAGTGAGACAGCATGTGGAAATGACAACCTTTTGTGTGGAATTGGTATTTCCTCATTGTTTCCTTGTCTTTCTCCATGTGTTCTCTCTTGTCTTTTGTGAGCCCTCTAGCTTAGGGAAGTCTCAAGAGATGAAGCAACAGGGAGAGGAACAATAAGACAATACAATACCCAGTCAGTATAAAGGAGACAGTCTGTACCCACCAGCAGAATAGTTTCTTTGAGTTCTATTACAAGCAAAAGATCTTAAAGGAAGGCCTGAAATAAAAAATAATTTTGCAGCCATTTCCATGGAACCTCTCATATGACAGCATTAATATTTAGTTTGCCATTTTAACAGGGGAATGGTATCCTTCCCTGTCGCCTGGTATATTGGAGAAATGAATAAAAAGACCCTCCTCCACTATTTGGTGGTTCATAGGAACATAGAAAGCTATCCTAAATATACACTAAAGCCATTAGTCCAACTAGCTCAGCATTGTCTACACTGGTAATTGACAACTTCTGGGGGTTTTAAGCACACTTACCCCTCCCCAGGTCTTCCAAAGGTCAAATTCCTGCTGCTGTGCTGTTGAAATTCATTGGTGACAGGAAAACAAAACAAAACACTACTACCCGTTTTTGTTTTAAATCAGTTTTCTGCTGAATTTAGGCAGAACACTGCTACAGAGGATCAGCAGTGACAAATTTCTCAGTTCTAACCCTCTGATCTGGTTCATAACCAAAATTCAGCAGCAAACAGATTATTTTTTGTTTTTCCTGATAGTGTAGGCTGTACCAAATGTTCAGGGGAGGGTGCATGACATCTTCATGTTGCTCCATCCCTGGTCTGACTGGTGGCAACTCTAGAGTTTCAGACAGGACTCTTGTCATCTGTTATATAGATATATTAAAGTA